GATCCGGGGCCTGTTCTAAATCACCAAGAGCTGAAAGTACAGCTCCTCTACACGTATCCACACCGACGGGAAGGATTCCAAACGATTTGGAACGAATCTGCTAGGATTAGTGAAGAAAAGGGTAACTCAAGAGACGAGATCCAATCCCGTGACAATAGAAATCCAAGAGAACAGCTTCTCTAGGGTTCTAGGGTGTTTTTCTGAGTTTTAGGTCGGCTCTCTTTTAAGTTTAGACGAAACCCTAAACTTAAATAAGATTAGAAAACCCTAAAATTCGAATTTTGGAAATATTCCGGATCCCGGTCCGCCGGACCAGGAGCTTGGTCCGGCGGACCAAGCTTAGTCCGAAGCACGCGGTCCGCCAGTCTTGAAGGCTTGCTCCGGCTGACCAAGTTTTGGTCAGCTGCGGACCAAGTTTCCTTCTTCGCCTGCTCAGTCCGATGCTCGCGCCGTCTGACCTGGAGGTTTGGTCCGGCTGACCAACTTTTGGTCAGCTCCGGACCAAACCTCTTGGTTCCTTTCCGGTCCGCCGTTCCAGCATCCTCGGTCCGCCTGTTTCCTGCGTCTGGTCCGGGGCTGACCAACTCTTGGTCAGCCGAACCAGATCTGGACAGGCGACCTCGGACTGCTCCTCCGGACTGCGTGATCTGACCAGACTTGGTCCGGGGCTGACCAAACTTGTCAGCTCCGGACCAACGCACTGAAAACTTCTTTTCGTGCTCGTTTCGGTCAAATCTCGTTTCCATTCTTCGTATTCTTCACGTATAAGTCCATCCCTATTGGTGTGTGACCCTGTAGGCCCATTCTAAGTGGTAGTGACTTTAGGAACTTTTCCCGAACCACAAGTCATGGTTAGCCTCTAGCAAGACGCCATGACCACCCATTTAGAATTGAGTTAGAGGTGATCTAACCAAGGCAATAACAGCTCGAGTTCTGATCCTTTATCTCACGATATCATGTGTTGAACAAGGGCATGGTTTGAGCCACCCTTCAAGTTCAACTGCTTTCTCGTCTTGGCAAATCGACTAGTAAAATAGATGCAACTTCATCTATAGCGTGGCCACGCGTTTTTCATAGTCCGACTTCCACGAGAGGGCCCAGCGATATCTCTCCTGTTAAGGAGGTGACAAGTCCCATATTGCATGTCTACTATCTCCATATGATTCGTGAACGTATCTGATCAACGCCGTTATAATCATCCGGTTAAAGACGACGTTTGACGCAGTCAAGACACGTCACTCCTCATATCAGATACTCTAGACATCTCAGGTATGAGGATCCATAAACGAACCGCTGTATGAGATTCAAGTCATGACTCTGTCCATGTGACAATCTCATGCGGGTCATCCAGTCACTCGTTCACAACGAGTACCCATGATTGTGATATGCATCCAATGCATCGATCACTCCTTATGCTAGTCTTAATTCAACATTGTTCCCACAATGTTGACTGACTAGGGAGTTTAGAATCATTCGCTAATGATTCAAGGATGCCGAAATATAACAAACATGCCAATCATATAACGGGAATGTAATGTATTCATGAATCAATGAATCAATACAAAGTCAAAATGTCATATTACGGATTATCCTAGAACATTACAACCAACAAAGGCGTCATCGTGGTTGATGTTAGACCCTGACGATGCTCTATCTAACAGGGAAAAAGAGCTGTAGGAGAAGAAGGATGCTCTGTCTGTCCGGAAGAGAGAGGTGGAGGCAATGGAGAAAGCCATTGCTGTCCGGGAGATAGAGTTGAATGTGATGGAGGTGTTTGTTGTCCGGGATAAAGAGGTCCATGCTGAGAAGGATGCTCTTTCTATCCGAGAGACAGAGATAGATGTTGACGAGGGCGGTGAGACTGTCCGCAACAACGACGTCGAGGCGAGGGAGGAGGACATCTTCGTTCGAGAGTTAGAAGAGCAGCTCACGGAAGGTGCTGATGTACGGGAGTCAAGTCTGGACGCTGGGAAGGTAGCTGTATCTGCCCGGGAGGAAGATGTGGAGATGGATGCTGTTACCGTCCGGGCGAAAGAGCTGGACGATCTCCAGGAAGGTCTATCCGTCCGGGAGAAAGAGCTTTGTGTCAAGCAGAATGCTCTGTCCGTACGTGCTGAAGAGCTGGAGGAGGAGAAGGAAACTCTTTCCGGGCGGGAGAAAGACTTCGGCGTCAAGATGGAAGCACTTTCTGTCCAGGGTGAACAGCTGGAGAAGGAGAACGAAGCTCTATCCTGCCGGGAGAAAGAGCTGGGTGTGAAGATGGATGCTCTTTCTGTTCGGGCTGAAGAGCTGGAGAAGGAGAAGGATGCTCTATCCGTCCGGGAGAAAGAGTTGGCTGTCAAGATGGATGGTCTTTCTGCCCGGGCTGAAGACCTGGCGAAGGAGAATGATGCTCTATCCATCCGGGAGAAAGAGTTGGCTTTCAAGATGGATGGTGTATCTGCCCGGGCTGAAGAGCTGGAGAAGGAGAGGGAAGCTCTATCGATCCGGGAGCAAGAGCTGGGTGTGAAGATGGTTGTAGTATCCGCCCGGGCTGAAGAGCTGGAGAAGGAGAGGGAAGCTCTATCGATCCGGGAGCAAGAGCTGGGTGTGAAGATGGTTGTAGTATCCGCCCGGGCTGAAGAGCTGGAGAAGGAGAGGGAAGCTCTATCGATCCGGGAGCAAGAGCTGGGTGTCCGGATGGTTGCACTATCCGTCCGTGAGAAAGAGTTGGAGGAGAGGAAGGAAGCGCTGGATGTCCGGGAGATAGAGCTCGCTGGTAAGAGGCCGTTGATTCCGTTTGTACAGAAGAGCAGGAGAAGGAGAAGGAGTTGGGAGTCCTGGCGGATGGTATTTCTGTCCGGGAGCAAGAGCTGGAGAAGGAGAAGGATGCCCTTTCGTTAAGGGAGAAAAAATTAGAGGAGGCTGAGGGTATTCTCATGGAGAAGAAGAAAAGTTGGGAGGAATATGTGGTGAAAGAGAGGAGGAGATTTCAATGGAGAGAAACCTGCTCATTTCATTCAAATATGATGCGGAGAAAAGGGAGCGAGGGCTTAAGTGCAGCTTTGAAGACCCCCTACAAAGCTGATACTGCTGTTAAGAACCTCATACAGCCGATTGTCAAATAAGGGCAAGTTAATGCATATGATCCATTCCCTTGGACGAAAATGACTGACATTGAGAAAAGAATTTGGAAGAAGAAAGAGAGGACATCACTATCGCGTTTTCTAACGAAAATGTAAGTTCTCTATCCATTGAAATTTTGAAACTACAGTCTGTATATTGGACTATCTATAGCCGATGATTGTACACGTTTATTGTTTACAACAGTGCTGGCAAAGACAAGTCTGCGACCAAGGAAAGACGTCAATTTTGGGTTCAAATGATGTTCCCTCAGAAGTGGTTGAACGATGATGTAAGTATTTAAGAGTAGAAAAATTAGTATAACCCTCTTGTCATTTTTGGTTCACTGATCTGATGTTTTCTGTTATGTTGTGCAGCATTTGGATTGTTATCTAAGTGTCCTCCGGAAGATGCTGGTTGAAGAACCTAGTTTATTCCCCAATCCAAGGATCGCATTCTTAGACTCCGTGTTCAACCATTACGTAGGCGTGGCGATGAATGAATTGAAAGATTCTGGCATCATACAAGGTGAGACGATAGCAACATTTGGACGATTGGTGAATGGTGATTTGCCAACTCCATATCCAACAAAGAAGAGTTTGGTCTGGGACGTTGACTGGTTTTACACTGTGGCGAATTACGGAGGACAACATTGGGTGACCCTCATCATCTATCCGGACAGGCGAACCATCACATACCTTCATTCGTTGGAGTCTACCATCAGTCATGAGGAGATGGAAGAACAGATGGGTATGTACGCCACAATTATACCTTGGGTACTGCATCATTGGGCGTCTTCTGAAGATAGACACAAATTTCAAAAGGACCGGTATCGACTGAAAAAGTTCTCGGGAGTACCTACGATGGCAGAATCTGGAGATTGCGGGATTTTCAGTCTAAAGTATGTCGAATGCCATGCTCTAGGAAAAGAGTGGTTGCCTCTCAGTACAGAGAACATCGAATTCATTCGTTGTAGTATGTGTGTGACAATGTTTAACCTTTTCATTAGAGATGTGAACAAAAAAAAAATAAGATTTATGGTTTTCCCGGTGTGTTACCTGGACAACACTCGATTCTAGTATGTTCGTGTCCGGACTTCTTCTGAATTGTTCAGAGATATATAACGGACAACCCCGGTTGTCCAATTTACAAATCACGACCCGTGTTTCTGCCCGTCCGGACACATTACGTCGTCTGTCCGAATGTCCGCACAATGCAAGTTAAAAATACCAGATGCATGTGGGATAACGTAATAAAGTTAAGGGGTATAATTGTATAATTGTGTCTGGATTACAAAATATAACTATTGCCAAAAAAAATAATATTATCATATTTATGTTTTATTACAACCAATACATACTTGGATTACATAAGTTAAAAAAAAACTCAAAAAAAAAAAAACAAACACGTATTCATGAATGTCACACGCAGGAAGGGATGTAACGTACCGACCGCTTCTCATCACGTCCGCGGTTTCATAAAGATTGAAGCAGAAGATCGAGCACACGACCAACTGGTCAGCTGTAGGCCGAGACGACCCAACTTTTGCCCCACTTCCCGCATCCCTGATATGGATTCCATTATTTGTTTAAAGGCATGTATCAAATGTTCCGACCGTGGTCATCCACCATCATATGTCTAGATACATCATCTTTATTGCAAAAATACATGTATTCACGTTTTCCCGATGCGAATGGTTGTTGGGAGAGAATCCAGGATATGTAGACACAACATCCCTTATATAGATTGATAGGTTTGTGAAGCAGCGTCCAGGTTCAGATATCCCGCATACCGAGATACCACCAGATCCGGATAACGCATGTGTCCGGATAACTCATGTGTCCGGGTTGCATACACCTGGCAACGACAACCGGACGTAACGCAGTCCGGATGTCGTTTTCTGAAATTAGCATCCGGAGGAACGAGTTACCATCCGGATGTCGTATACTGAAATTACCATCCGGCGTTTCGTCCGAAATTATACAAAATAAAAAATAATCTTGGGTATATGTCCGGGTGAAAAATTTCTGCGAAACAATCTGAACCGTTCATGAAGTATATCCGGGGTTTGGTCAATAACTTTATCAATACATTCCTGTGTCCGGGTTAAACAATTGGTATGATCTACAGTGAACATAATCGGATTACATTCATGTTGTGTGGTTGTAGATGTCCAGTGTGAGTGCATATAATCAAAAGTTAACAATTGAAACAATACACAGTAGGGAAATTTGACAATGAAAAGTATACACACAGTCCGAAATTTTACAGCAAAGAAATTTTACAAAATATTACCACATTGCGATCTGAGTTGGCGTACCGGCTTTAATCTCCATATGCATTTCTTTGTCCAGTTTGATCCGGTTGCACTTCATCTTCGTAGGTCAACCGGTTCTGTCGTGGTTGTGATTGACACACATTCCCTGATATGGATTCCATCATATAAGATAATCAGTGCGAAAGAAAGATATCGTAACATGTACATACATATTGTAATATTCTTTCAGCGGATAAAGAGTGGAAAAAACTGTAATGTATTCTACACCGGTCATGGTTACGTTGAACGAGTGATACCAACTAAGGCGTTTTTATAGTCCATTTATTGGAAGACGTATCGGTTTGACGCAATCCCCATATTTATTTCGTATTCATGAATGTATACGTCCACCGTTTCTCGAAGACAGAGATGCCATTCCGTCCGGGGACGACATTTCCGGACATAATGTCTCGCAACAGGTTCAATACCCGTGGTTTCAAGTCCCGAAGCAGAGTCTTCCGGGGGACAATGTTCAGGTTCACCATTTCCTCATTCCCAGATGTCATAAATGTATACAAACTAGTCCTCATGTCACGCATACATTGGACTGATTATGCGCTGTCCGGAATGATTATGTCAACTCATCCATATGTGTCCGAGAATTTGACGTTCGTGCTCAATGTATCGTTTCGTAAAAACCACCCAGACGACATGTTACTTCATTAAAATATGAGAAAATTTAAAATAACAGAGACGCCATTCCGTCCGGGGAGGACATTTCCGGACATAATGTGTTTGGGTTCTGTACACGTGGTTTCAAGTCCGGAAGCAGAGTCTTCCGGGGGACAAACTCCAGGTTCAGCATTTCCTCATTCCCAGATGTCATAAATGTATACAAACTCGTCCTCATGTCACGCATACATTTGGAGTGATTATGCGCTGTCCGGAATGATTATGTCGGCTCATCCATATCTGTCCGGGAATTTGACGCTCGTGCTCAATGTATCGTTTAGTAAAAACCACCCAGACGACATGGTACTTCATTAAAATATGATAACATTTATAATAACATCTCGAGGAGTGAAAAAAAATGTTAATAAATACACTTCCATACAATACTGGACAATACTATTTTAAAGATGTACAACTGTGACAAGTTTCTTGCGGACAGATTCGGAGGAAATCTTGCCATCTGAAATAACACACCGAGATTCAAACATCCCTCCGGGAGACGACCCTTTCATGTGCACGGGCCACGACGACAGCAACCATTGGGGACGAAGCTTAGAACACTGTCATCACCTGTCTAAGGTGTGATAAAGATCCGCGCAGCAGATCCAGCACACGACGAACTAGTCACCGTCGAAGGCACATGGCACCAATCGGGCCAACTACCTGTATCCCTGATATGGATTCCATCATTTGTTTATATGCATTCTGTATCCGGTTTAAAAGGCATGTACAAAGTGTTAGGACGGTTTGCCAAATCTCTACTTCTATGGTTATATAGACACCCCTTGATCACGTAAAAATGTTGTGGTTTCACTGCAGTGCGATTGGATGTTTCTTGGGGAAAGTGTTGACATAGTGAAACCTCAGTTTGTCCACATTGTTCCGGATTTGCCATTAATATGTCCGGTTAATAAACTTTATGTGCACGGGCCACTACAGCCCGGACTTCATCACTCAGGGTTCGTTGAATGCAAATCCAATTGAGATCCATATCTACTCATATCTACGACAGTGACAGTACCGACGTCGACGTGTACGGGACTCAGTGCCCAGCTTCAGCTTTCTCGTATACCGAGACGCAACCCTTTCCGGGGTATGTGTGTCCGACCGTCATGTGTCCGGATTGAAATCGACGTCTCCGTCCGTCATGTGTTTTGGACTTGTTACAATGAAGAATGTTCATGTTTACTTAAACGCAGTACGGCACCAATCGGCTTCTATATCATATACGGTTCGATTCCATATAAGTTACACTTCAGTTATGTTTATATTATTAACAACAAAAATATTACATGTTCTGAACAAAACCAATCAATGCTTAAAATAACCTAACCGAATCCATCAAGTTCTTGCCACAATTCTTCCAGTTCGTGTTCGACAGTGTCAATAATCTCTCGACACTGTCACAATGCAGTAATGGCGTCTGAAATTTTCTGTTTCATCTTTTCAGACTGCTCAGATCACACTCTCTTCTGTTGTCGTCTGTCATATGTCCGAGACGAAGAGTATTGGAGATTACAGCAACTGGGACCGAAGCCTATCACGTGAAAACACAAGTCTCCTTCACCTTCCAGTCTGAAAATTACAAAGTCTCCAACACGGAAATCATGCTTCAAGGCAAAATCTTCCCAGCCGTGGCCGAATCTCCGGCCGTCAATTTGCACTTTCCATTTCTTGTCCGAGACATCGGACACCAGTATCGCCGTCGTCTTCTCCTCGTGCCTTCCCTCTACGTTCTTCTTGAAGAACGTCACCGACATGTCCTACAACAACAAATAAACAACACAGAAAAATTGGCCAAAACTCATAACCATTTCTTCATAATACTCCACATAGACAAAGACAGACAGACAGAGAGACAGAGACAGAAATAGAGAGAGAGAGAATACGAGGTGCTGGTGGAAGCCAGGAAGAAGGGGCTGGAAAAAATGAGGTTTGTTCGAAGACTGAGATTTCAGATCCGCCATTGCAAGACGTAAACATTGAGAAGATTTCCATCAACATCCATTAAAACAC